TATTATTATTATATTATTATTGTTGTTGTTGTTGTTGTTATACGCAAATAGAGTAAAAATAGTAGATACATTTTTTTTTACAAAAGTTGTTTGTTTTAATGAGATATTCCAAGAGGGGGTGAGCTGTAATATTTCTCTACCAAGATTGAAAACAATTACGAAGCTGATTCTATCAGCAGAGCTTTTGAATTACTCGATGTGAATACATAATAATAAACGTGATAAGTTATAGGTCGAAAATGTTGACAACGATCTTGTAGACGTTTTCAATACCAAAAGGAAGAGAAGGTAGGAGAGCCATCTTGACGTTGAGTTGTCGATGAGTAGTGAGTTGTGTCCCTTTCGTATGTTTATCGCTTGGAAATACGCTTCCAACTTGGCTAGATTCTAGATCTAAAAATCTAGATAGGCGGAAGGACTTCCGTAACGAGCGACCACCCCATCAAATACAATAAGTTTTAGAGAATAATCTTGATATTTTTCTCTCCAGAGTTTGAAAAGCTTTCATATTTTCGTAATATATGGATGCCGCTTGACCTGAAATCGAAGACTTCCAAGAAGAACAACCTGACTCTGACGACTCACGGGTAAGTTGCTCATCAACACGGTTGACCAACGGACAGCAATGAAAAAAATTCTCTACCTCTACCTAGAGGCTAGGCTAGAGGCTAGATTCTAGATCTCTCTAGATGCGTAGATTATATTATATGATCTAAAAACCTAGATCTAGATCTAAGGCACACAGTAGATCTAATCTAGATCTAGCACTAGTCTATCTAGACTACTGGATATAATGTAAGATCTAGAGTCTAGTATATATAGATTCTAGATCTAGATCTAGAATCGGTGCTTTTTCGGTAGTTCCCACCCCCCTTATTTGAGCCTGACCTACTTCTAGATCTAGATCTATACGTTTGATTCGCGGTGAGCTAAGATATCAAACCTAACAACAGCAAAACATTAAATTGTGGTAAAATTCAGGGGGGCATGCCCCCCTGAAACCCCCCTACTCTTGGGGCCAAAACCCGTGAACAATTGCGGGGTGGGAACTACCGAAAAAGCGCCCTAGAATCTACATGCATGGATATCGATACTGATTGAGTTGAAGTGTTTGGTATCGATGTCTTATCAGTAGATCTAGCCTACAAAATGAGCAGTAAAATTTCCCTTGTATACAAGGCAAAGGGGGTTTCAGGCCCCCCTGGCCCTGACCACACCCAACAAAAACAATTGTCATTGTACAGGAGTGCCCCCGTTTGGGGATACTCGTTTTGACTCCACCAACGACTAGATTCTAGATCTAAGATCTAGACTTCTGGTTCTAAAATATAACGAAGTGACTATTCGTACTCGAGTCCGAAAAAAAGAAAAATTATATTCGGACTCTGAATTGAGTTCAGCATGAAGTCCGTTCCGACTTCCGACCCTTGTTCCTAAATATTTCCAGCCTGTACGAACTTTTTTTTCGATACAATATATGATAACACTGGTAACAGTTGAGAGGTGAGCTTTATCCAGTTGCTAGATCTCTAGATCATCTAAACTGGCTCTCCCTGCATCATTAGTAGGAACAGAACGACTAAGTTGAGCTGACCTTGCCGAGGGCAAAGTTAATTTTATGTCGACCAATGAGATTGCATGTAGCGATCTCGCACTCTTGGCTTGCTGGGGGAGGGGGTGTTGGGAAGAGGCCACGGCTGTCGATTTTGTGCGATGTAAAACAAAGAAAAATAATCACAGAAAAACTATAGATTTAGATCTAGATTTAGATCTAGATCTAGACTCTAGATCTAACACACAACAAAATGAAATTAAACATTGGAAAAACAAAAATGGTGGTGGAAGTAATGATGATGCTGTAGTGGTAGTGGAAGTTATGATGCTGTTGTGGTGGTGGAAGTAATGATGATGCTGTAGTGGTAGTGGAAGTTATGATGCTGTAGTGGTGGTGGAAGTAATGATGATGCTGTAGTGGTGGTGGAAGTTATAATGCTGTAGTGGTGGTGGAAGTAATGATGATGCTGTAGTGGTGGTGGAAGTTATGATGCTGTAGTGGTGGTGGAAGTAATGATGATGCTGTAGTGGTGGTGGAAGTAATGATGATGCTGTAGTGGTGGTGGAAGTTATGATGCTGTAGTGGTGGTGGAAGTAATGATGATGCTGTACTGTAGTGGTGGTGGAAGTAATGATGATGCTGTAGTGGTGGTGGAAGTAATGATGATGCTGTAGTGGTGGTGGAAGTTATGATGCTGTAGTGGTGGTGGAAGTAATGATGATGCTGTAGTGGTGGTGGAAAGACCCTGAGTTGTCGGTTACCGTGTACTTAGAACACTGCCTTTGGGAAAATGAGAGTGCATTCCTTTGACTTTTGACCCAATTACACAGTCCTAGTATTTAGTAAGCAATTCTAGTTGTAATTCTAGTTTTTTACATAAAATCCCCCGTTGATATTTCATATAGTAATGTAACCTCCTTACACTCACATTATAACTCACTTAGATTCTAGAAGCTGAGTCCGAAATTAAATAAAATCTTTTTTTCGGACCGGAGTCTGAATAGATAAAACCCGTATTTGGAGTCTGAATAGAGCTGGCCAAAATCTAAACAATATCATTGTCATAGGCCTACTTTTACATATGTAACTAAACGTAAAACGACGCATCTTCCTGATTGGCTGCTAATTGTTAGTAATGTGTTGTCATCACTACCTGGGATTCCCACAGACTATTTTTATTATAAGGCCGTGGAGGTACCAAAGATCGTGTATACACGATACAGTAGAGAATCTTTGGAGATAGTGCCTGGAACGACATGTTGGGTCAGTGGTTTGACGTATTATTTGTCTATATATATCGATGTGTTTTGCACGCTGAAATTTCACACTTGTGGCTAACTAAAGCACGTCAGCCATGCTCTGGTGATGGAAGATGATTCAAGATGGCTTACGTAGATGCTCAGGACCGAAAGAATGCTGATGCTTGAAATTGAAATACGGTAAACACAAACCAATAAAGCGCACTAAAATTGCCATAAAGATGCCAGATTACCCCCCCCCTTGGGCCCGATAAATAATGCACAGAAGAGATATAAGCAGCAGCATCATCGGAGCGCTGCATATATATATCCCGTTACCGGTAGATATATGTCTCCTGGAAAACCATGGCTCCAGATGTCGTGCCATGATAGGTATACAGTTATACACGATCTTTGGTGCCATGTGGTTGGCTATGTTTAGATCATGAAGTCACGTAGTCGGAGGTGTATCCCGGTCTGACGTCACACAAGATGGCCATGTCGTTCTACGTTTAGTCGCTTGTATTACTTTTTGATGCGCGTGGCGATAGGCCTATGGGGAGATACCCTGTCAAACCTGATTGCAAAACTTCAAATTATGGTCAAATTCAGGGGGGCATGCCCCTAAAACCTCCCTTGCCTTGTTAAATATGCAAGGGAAATTTTACTGCTCATTTTGTAGGCTAGATCTTCTGATAAAACATTGATACCGAATATTTAAATCAGTATCGATATCCAGTAGTGTTTGACTGTGTGATGTAGTGCTTGATCTAACGGGACCGCAATTGTACTGGAGTGCCCGATCTAATATCTAGATCTAGTCATGCATAGTGTGACTTGTTCTTGTCACTGCCGATTGCTTCTGTGTATGTGTGCGTTTTTTATCATGATACTCCAAGTAGTATAAATGATTTATGATTACTTTTGACTGACAGAAAAAAAGGCATTCTTCGGGAGAAGTGGTCCCGGCCTAACTCCATAGTCGGAAACAAAAACGGAAGTCGAGTAAAAAAGCTGGCTGAGTTGCCAGGGTAAAAAAGCTCATAATGTAGTAATAGATCTAGCTAGGACTAGATATCTAGATCTTTTAATGTAGTAATAGCTAGGACTAGATATCTAGATCTAATAATGTAGTAATAGCTAGGACTAGATATCTAGATCTAATCTAGGACTAGATATCTAGATCTTTAGTAATAGCTAGGACTAGATATCTAGATCTATTAATGTAGTAATAGCTAGGACTAGATATCTAGATCTATTAATGTAGTAATAGCTAGGACTAGATAGATCTATTTATGTAGTTGTACAGACCAAAGGGCTAGAACCCAAATGGCCGCTGGATTGGAAAAGTAAAGTAAAGTATGTAGTTGTAATAACTAGGACTAGATATCTAGATCTAATTATGATGTAATAACTAGGACTAGAATCTAGATATCATATATCTAATAGTGTAAGAACTAGGGCTAGATATCTAGATCTAATACTACAGTATTATCAGATATCTAGGTCTGATAATGTAAGAACGAGGACTAGATATCTAGATCTAATAGTGTAAGAACTAAGGGTAGATATCTAGATCTAATAGTGTAAGAACTAAGGGTAGATATCTAGATCTAATAATGTAAGAACTAAGGGTAGATATCTAGATCTAATAATGTAAGAACTAAGGGTAGATCTAATAATGTAAGAACTAAGGGTAGATCTAATAGTGTAAGAACTAAGGGTAGTTCTAATAATGTAAGAACTAAGGGTAGATATCTAGATCTAATAGTGTAAGAACTAAGGGTAAATCTAATAGTGTAAGAACTAAGGGTAGATATCTAGATCTAATAGTGTAAGAACTAAGGGTAGATCTAATAATGTAAGAACTAAGGGTATATATCTAGATCTAATAATGTAAGAACTAAGGGTAGATATCTAGATCTAATAGTGTAAGAACTAAGGGTAAATCTAATAGTGTAAGAACTAAGGGTAGATCTAATAGTGTAAGAACTAAGGGTAGATATCTAGATCTAATAATGTAAGAACTAAGGGTAGATATCTAGATCTAATAGTGTAAGAACTAAGGGTAAATCTAATAATGTAAGAACTAAGGGTAGATATCTAGATCTAATAATGTAAGAACTAAGGGTAGATATCTAGATCTAATAGTGTAAGAACTAAGGGTAGATCTAATAATGTAAGAACTAAGGGTAGATCTAATAGTGTAAGAACTAAGGGTAGATCTAATAATGTAAGAACTAAGGGTAGATATCTAGATCTAATAATGTAAGAACTAAGGGTAGATCTAATAGTGTAAGAACTAAGGGTAGATATCTAGATCTAATAATGTAAGAACTAAGGGTAGATATCTAGATCTAATAGTGTAAGAACTAAGGGTAGATCTAATCATGTAAGAACTAAGGGTAGATATCTAGATCTAATAATGTAAGAACTAAGGGTAGATCTAATAGTGTAAGAACTAAGGGTAGATCTAATAGTGTAAGAACTAAGGGTAGATCTAATAGTGTAAGAACTAAGGGTAGATATCTAGATCTAATAATGTAAGAACTAAGGGTAGATATCTAGATCTAATAATGTAAGAACTAAGGGTAGATATCTAGATCTAATAGTGTAAGAACTAAGGGTAGATCTAATAGTGTAAGAACTAAGGGTAGATCTAATAGTGTAAGAACTAAGGGTAGATCTAATAATGTAAGAACTAAGGGTAGATCTAATAGTGTAAGAACTAAGGGTAGATCTAATAGTGTAAGAACTAAGGGTAGATATCTAGATCTAATAATGTAAGAACTAAGGGTAGGTCTAATAATGTAAGAACTAAGGGTAGATCTAATAATGTAAGAACTAAGGGTAGATCTAATAGTGTAAGAACTAAGGGTAGATCTAATAGTGTAAGAACTAAGGGTAGATCTAATAGTGTAAGAACTAAGGGTAGATATCTAGATCTAATAATGTAAGAACTAAGGGTAGGTCTAATAATGTAAGAACTAAGGGTAGATCTAATAATGTAAGAACTAAGGGTAGATATCTAGATCTAATAGTGTAAGAACTAAGGGTAGATTCTAGATCTAATATAATGTAAGAACTAAGGGTAGATTTTAGATCTAATAATGTAGTCCTAATAACTAGTTCTGCTATCTTGAATTAGCCTTGGGCTAAGCCTGAGCCATAAAAGCGCAGAGAGTTAGCTTGAAAAACAAACAGAATTAAATAGCTTTACTACTACTAGATTTAGATATATATCTACCATCCGCCATAGACTTAAGACGTAGGCCTTGATCGACTTGAGCTTGGCACATGATTGGGGGCTCGTGGGTCTGCAACTCATAGACAGACAAGGACAGTCCCACTGGATAGACCAACACAGCCTAGTGATTGGTTAATCTTAACACAGCCTAGTGATTGGTTAATACCTTAGCACAGCCCAGTGATTGGTTAATACCTTAGCACAACCCAGTGATTGGTTAATACCTTAGCACAGCCCAGTGATTGGTAAAAAAAAGAAATGAGTGCCCGTTTTTTCACAACAATAAAAAACAAATTTGCGTTGAGATCACAATGCTAGACTACCAGTTTGAAGTCCAGAAGTAGGGGGTAGTGGGTGCGGGGGGCAAGGACTAAAGAACAAATATGGACGCTCTCCTCTCTCTCTTTGAGGCAGCCGTCCATGGTGGTATCTCCACCAATTGTTATGTTAATTCGAATCTTACAGGGCTGGACTACATGGGGGGGATCCATGAGGGGGGGGCAAAGGTTAAAGACGTGGGGCGGGCCTGGGGAATGGATGAAGAAGAAAATGAAAAATGAGAGAAAAGTAGAGAGAGTCAGAGAGCTTCTTGTAGTCGACTGATGTATTGATAGATAGGGAAAGAAAAAAAAAAGGACTCTCTGATGACTGTTCATTATGTAAGAAATCTATGTTAGTTTAAAAATCGAGAGAGGCTGACAAAATAAGAAGAAAACAGTCAGAAAAAATCTTTGAATGTTTTAAAAGAATTATTTTTATGATAAGGCATGGTGAGAAACAAAGTAGTTATTGAAAACAATAAAGGACTGCATGGTTCGAGGCTAGTGCAATATGACTCTTCTCTTTTTTTTTCTTCGCACTGTAGGTTATTCAAAGTTCCCCTGGCCGTCGTTTCATTCTATGCTCCATCTGATGCGACTTCCTTGGAGTAATATGGCTGGGCAGGTACGTGAAAAATCCTTCTTGAGATTGAACCAAATGTGCAAAGTCTTTACTGTATGGGACCTGAGAGCCTTGGTGCCTCAGGTATGGTAAGTGTGTACATTGTTCTATTCTGACATGTAAATTACAGGGTATGGTAAGTGTGTACATTGTTCTATTCTGACATGTAAATTTCAGCTTCTTTTAGGCATATTCTGATTTCTTCATTTTTCTCCATTTTTTCTACCTGTATTTCCCACCACCACTCGTTTCTCCTTTCTATTGTTGCAATTCTAGAGTAACTGGCCTCTAGATCATACTCTTCTCAGAGAAAAGTACAAGTAAGTAGATCCTGTGCAATTTGTGCTGGGCATTTCATAATCTTTTGGCTTTCTTAAAAATATTTGTTAGAAAGCAAAAAGCTTCCTCTGGAAGTAAGTGCTTCAAGTAATAAATGAATTAAATTTGTCTTTGAGATGTGCACATATAGATCTATGGCTGTCTCAGAGGCTGGAAACACTAGATCCTTTTGTGTGTGGAAATATGCTGCTTTTATATCCTGTACAAATGGTCTGCAATGTTGGTTTATTGTAAGAACCTGCAGTTGTCTTCCTCTGAGGTCCAGTGAGGAATCGCTGTTACTGTTATGATTATTGAGAGGATCAACATCATGTCCTATTTCACTTATTTGAACGTTCTTTCATTTTATTTTCAGAAAAGTTTTTAACTTAATTAGATCTAGTCATTGAAATTACTTTTTTTGAAATGGAAAAGTTTGTATGTGGACAACCCTGTTATTTGCTTTGTCACCAAACATGTGTCTATGGGGATAGTGAGAAATTGGAAATAAGGATTTTTTTCTTTTTTTAATTAAAGAAAAAAATTTATTTTGTCTTTTGGGAGAGGGATTTACACAATTCATTTATATACATATACAAAGGGCAGCTGGATTATTTTCCTAATGTACAAATTAACTTGATATGCAAATTATTTCTCTTTGTTGATCCTTCATTTGTTAAAAAGTGTTATGGTTATAATAAGTTCACGTATCTAGAAGATCACAGCTTAATCCTTTGAGTTTGATGACCATAAAACTTTTTTGAAAGAAAAGATAATGAGTTCCGGCATGCAAGCAATGTGTGAGGTCATCTCTGTGTTTTGTTTCACCAACAGTTCCGAAGCTTCCAGTGGGACCCAGTCTTGATCATCGCTCAGATCATCAGCATGATAAGTCTCTGGTATTTCTCCCTGGGCATGTGGGTGTTTGTTCTGGACGTCATCGGCAAGTTTGACTTGTCCACCGAGCAAATCTTCACCCAGAGTGTGAGTAACTTGTGTTTTTCTCCAAATGTTTCTTCCTTATTTACTTCCTTTTATGAATTCCGTGTCTTTGTATGCACACCATACTTCAAACTTTTTACGTGCGCTCTTTTTTCTCTGTGTGTGTCTTGCCCATTTTGTGTTTTGCCAACATTTTAGATTCGGGATTTTAATTTTTGTCACCCAGTGTCATGTATGCAATGTGACGTATTCCTAGATGTATATAGTAAGTAGTATATATATATAGTATGGAGCCATCTCATGTATATATATAAATCACGGCTGTCTAAATCGCCCCAAAACCGCCAGTTTAGTTACCGGGCAAGGGTTTCCCGCCGACCACCCCGAGACGGTAATAAATCAGCTGTCAGCCGTGCAAGGTACCGTGACGGGAGCGGCACTCCCGGCGTGCCTCGGCCGTGCCCAGGAAACTTGATTCCAGTCATTTTCGATTAATTTGATCCCCAATATCTCCCGATCTAACG